TTACTTATGCCGTTAAAACTGACGACTTCCATGATATACTAAAAATTTCTGTTAGTGTGTAACAGAGTGTGTAATTATGTAAGGTGTATGTTTTATTGTCCTATTTATTCATCTCTTCTTGATGTTGGGAATATGATTTTTTTAGATTAACAATTAACAAATTTTGTTGTAAATATATCAATAGTCAATCATCCAAGGTATCTAATAGTATTTGGATCTAAAACCGTTATAAACTCATAGCCTTTTATGGGATGCCAATTCCCTTGCATTATCAAGCAAGATTTTCTTGTATATTTTGAAAAAAAAAAAAAACACTCTTGATGAAACATTTCATATTGTTTAGGAGACTATTTTGTCACCTTCATATTCAAGCATATATTGATGCCATAATATATCAAAATATATTCCAATAATTGAGTATATGCTTATATATTTCCTTGAATCCAATATAATAATAAAGTAGATTATTTTTCTAATTTCATTTGTAGAAGGCGTGGTAATCATTTCTCAAGGGAATACAACATATGAAAAATCACTTGATGGTCTAGTTACTTGGATCCAAAAATAAAAACCATTTAGGATTTCAAGTTAGTCTCAACATTTGATCTTATTAGATTTATATATGTAATTTAGAAGATAAAGCAACATTTTCAAATATGTGCCTTTTGACCACATATAAAAGATGTGATGTAGGAACATGTTGTAACATTCTCATTCATGGTTTAAATATAATAACAATCATATTTTTTTTTATCATTCCAATAAAATCTACTAGAGCATAGAGTCACATACTTAAAAATTTTCTTTCTCTAAGTTAGAAAATTTAAGCTTTTTAATAGCTTTCAATAATAAATAAAACTTGAGCTTTCTTCAATAAAAAACAATATTCAAGCTCTTCAAGAGCTTTCAATAGTGAACAATGTCCAAGCTCTTTGAACTTTCAATCAATTTTATAACATGAAATATCATATTAGCTTCCATCTAAAAGTAACTGGGGAAAGCATTTTTTTGATTTTTTAGGATATATATTGTATTATGACACACCCTTTTGTACATTCAACATGATATATAACTTTTCAAGTTTTATTCCACCATTATACATTTTGTATAGGTTAAATGCCAATTTTAATCCTTCAAATTTAGGGTTTTGCATATTTTTTGTCCTTCAACTTTTTTATGCACTTTTTTAGTCCTCAATTATGAAAAATGAACATTTTTAGTCCTCAAACTTTAGAATTTTGCATATTTTATGTCCCTTAATTTAAAAGTTTAAGGATTAAAAATGTGCATATATGGACATATTTAATGAACTAACTGGTAGAAGAAGTAAAAAAAAATATTTTTCATAGTTGAAGGACAAAAAAAGTGCATGAAAAAAATTGAAGAATGAAAATTGTGCAAAATTCCAAAGTTGAGGGACCAAAATTGGCATTTAACTTTTTGTATAATAGGAGTGCATGTATGCCACATTTTGTTTCACTTGGGCAAAATTATGCCTTCATTGTATAGTAGCAATATTTTACATAATTTCAACTTTTCATTTTTGATTTCACTACAAATAATAGGGTACCTTTTTCCAAAATATTTCTCCATCAATATGTAATCTCTACATTGAGAGATATTATGCAAGATAAATGTAAATCTCAAAATTTGGGATATGAATTCCCCACAAGAGAGACTAATGTCCATGTCAAAGATGCATTCACATCTGCATATCCATATTATTATTTTCCACAATATTTGTTTTTGCATCTTTTTCATTCTCATTGAATATAACTTGTAACAAATCAAGCAAATGCTTGGAGATGTACAACAAGTAAGTATATTGCTTGGATGTACAATAGGTACAATGACCTTTCATATCACATCTATGGCAAATACCCTCAAAATTCTTTGCCTTTCATATCACATTTATAATAAGCACTTTCATAATTATTTGTTGGTTTCCTATGTAAATCCTTCCAATTTGTATAATTTTCTTCAAAATTTCCATAATTTTAAAATGATGGCAAGTAATACTATAACTGTGATCATGATGATCATGTCTGCATCCATAATTGTCATAAGATACCATATCCACTTTAGGGAATTAGAGTAAATTGCTGGGTTTGTGGTTGATGATTAAAATATCATATTTTGTTCAACAATAAAAAAAATGATATATTATTGTCTTCTTGATATTACTATTGCTGGAGCATATTCGAGACATGAAAGAAGAGTGTATCTTCTCTAAATTGTTTTCATCAATAATCATTTTCTTCATATGAATGCAAATTTATACAAGTAATAAATGTATCTATTCATAGCTAAATTTTTAGAAGAATTGCAAGTTTCTTTTGATATCATCTTTCTTCCAAACAATTCCATAATTCCAATGAATAATTCATTTTCTTCTTTTAGTGCTTTTTAGACTTCATAATAAAGAAATATCATTTCATCACAATCCTTCAAGGATATCCTCTTATTTCTTCAAGAATTGTTTATTTTTTAAAGGATGATTTATTCCTTTCTACAATTGAATCTTTAGGATTCATTGTAGTTAAATGAAATTCCACATCAAAAGTTCATGACAAATGGTTGGAGCCCAAATTACTAAGGGCAATGAATTCAAATTTTCTAACTATTGTAAAATAAAATATAAACCAAAGAAATGTTATAACTCCATAAAATATTCAAATTAGAAATTAGAATTTGAAAGACAACATTTTCTTCAAAATCTTACCTTAAAATTTTACCTTCACTTAGATCTTGATCTCAATTGGTTTATCACGTCAAATGGAATTCATGAAGAGTAATTCATATAGTAACAACTTGTGCCGCTATAACATGTTGTAAATTATATGACAATAGAAGAAATAAGAAGTATAGAAATTGTAAGAGAGCAATAGCAAAAGAAGGAAAAGAACTTAGTAACCTCTTTTTTTATTTCACATAAAGTATAACTATTTATATATAAAGGAATTGTAACTCTAAAATTAAAGTTAACAATATAATAATATAAACAGATTTCAATTGGAGTTGGAGGCATAAACATGCCAATAAATCTCAATAAATTATTAGTCATCTATTAAGAGGAAGGAAAGTAACATCCATGCTATTCGCAATAAAAAGGTATACTAATCACCTTTATTTTATAACATATTTATATTTATACGTTATCCAAGTTTTTACGAGCTTCAAAAAACCATGGGTTAATGAAAACTATTTTGAATAGTTTTTTTTTAATTTCTTTTCTTTTTTAATTTTTAATTTAGATTTGCATGGTAAAGAGTAATTTATTAAGAGAAATCTTTATTTATAATTTTTTAAAATTTTGGATATTAATTGCAAAAAAAACCTATTAATAGTGATTTTTTAAATTTACAAAAGTTAAGGAGCTAAATGGGTGTTTGAATTAATTGTGTAGATTAGCTGATAGCTAATCTCTAATGGCTAATAATAGTTTTTATGTATAATTTATAATATATAATTCATTCAATTAGAACCTACAATTGATAACTATTTATAAAATGTCAAAACAAACACCCCACATGTGAATATTTTGTCTTAAGATGGAAATCATTTCCATTAGCCAAATATATTTTTAAAAATTTTCATTTTCTAATTAACTTGAAAGGAAAAGGAAAACGGAAAATGGAGAAAGTTTTCTCTTGCAAAACACACACCAATTTTTTTATAGGAGTGGAGATTAATAAGTACTATTCTTGTATTGGCAACTTAGTAAATCGTATACACACAACTTAGTAAATTGTAGGTATAAATAGTTATACCTACAAAATTCTGAGTGTAGATAAAAAAATAGTGTAGGTCTATGGCAATTTGGATGTAGTGATTTAGTCTATAAAGTTTTAAGGCAAAAATATGGAAAAAGGTCCTGAACTTGTACAAAATTCTCAATTCTAGACCTAAACTTCAATTGCACTTAATTAAGGTCCCAATAGGATGGAATATTCTCTTGTCATTAAATGTCTTGTATGCCGTTAACTATTCAACCAACCGAATTGCCAACATGGAAAACATTCTGATGTGTCATTGCCACATGGTGCCACATGGATTCTCTTTAGCCTGATTTCCCTCAAAATCAACTAGGACCCACATGTGGCATCTATGTGGCATCCACGTGGCAATGACAAGTCAACGCTTTTTCCACAGGCAATCAACTGACTAAAAGAGTGATGGATTGTTAACTAGCATCCAAGATATTTGCATGCAAGAGAATATTCCATCCATCAAGAGAATATTCCATTCAATTGGGATCTTATTTGAGAATTTCATGTAGTTTGGGATCTTAATTGAGTGTAATTGAAGTTTGGGTTTGAAATTGCAAATTTTGTGCAAGTTTGGGTCCTTATATCACATTTTTGCCAAGTTTTAATTTTGAACAATTTTAGGCTCTGAACTATTTTTATAATTTTTTCATCTGTTAACTATGAAAAATGTATTTTTTTTGTCTCTCCATCAGTTTTATCCATTAAAGCTGTACAATTGGCATTTTTTTTTTGTCCATAAGCTTTTGTTTTGTGCTCATTTTTCTATTCCTAAACTAATATTTGTTGCATAGTTTTAGTTCTTAAACTTTTGTTTTATGCTCATTCATGTTATCAAAGGAAATTAAATGCGAATTAGGTAGGCAACTTAACAGGCAAGACTATAAAACGGCAAAAAGGGGTATTTTTCATAATTAAGGAATAAAAAAAGTGAAAAAAATAGTTTAACAACTAAATTTATTC